CTCTTCTGAAATAAAAGGACCATGTGCAGTGTCCTTATTTCCATCTCAAAACTGCTACAGAGTTTATTTTGGCCTACAGTTTCGTGGTAATTTTGGTAGGAGGATGGCGACTTTTTTTGCAATTTGACTGGACGCAACCCTAACCACAAAGACTGAAATTATTTAAGGGACATAATTTTCTTTGCAAACGACTCTTGTACTGAAACGTATGGGATTATAGCACTAGTTTAGTCCCTCCTACATTCTGATTAAAGCCAGAAGGGACTGGAACTGGACCATAGAGCGTGAAAAATCTCCGTCCAAACTTGAGACGATCCAACCAGAGCCACTAATTTGTAATCATGTCTCTCAAATTTGTCTCTGAAATTCTCATAAGAAGTTGCTGATACGATACATACCTCCATACATAGGCCGCGATACGATACGATAAATGATACTAGAAGTGATAAGTGATAGTGATACTAAAAGTCTTTGTTAAACCACAGTGCACCCTAAATGCTGCTACAACATTTTTGTGAACTTTTGGAATTACATTTACACTTCTTGTGCAAAGTTCATATGAAACACAAACATTTTAATCATCAAAACAGTGAAAATGTCAAATGTGTCGCATAAACAAGTTTCCTTCCACTACCAAGCAACAAAACTGTAGCGCTGTAACAAAAAAAATGTAGTAAAATACACCAAAAAATATACTCTTGGCGATATATCGATACAGCAGCCCACGATATTGATACTGTATCATCACATTAAACAATACGATATATCGATATTTCAATATTTTTGCAAACTCCTACTCATAACGTTCCGAACCAAAAGTATATAGCTACTTTTATCTGAAATAGTTATAATAGTTTGGTGCGATAGTACTGTTTCTGTGCTTTGTTTAGTTTTTTTCCCCTTTTGTTTTAGTTTCTTTTTGACGTAAACAAAGCATGCGTCTCTCTGATTGGTTAATCCGCCTGTCAATAACGCTTCTGAAATCAGGGAGACAGGACACAGCTCCTGATCATCTACGGACTCGTCTTTGTAAAGTTTTTCAAAGCCTGCGGTTCTGGCTGGACAGGTAACTAATTTAGCCCTTCATATTCCTGTCTTTTCTCAAATGTTAATGCTCCTGGTTTAACTTTGAACAGAATCTTTATTAAAACGTGAGTCACAAGTCTAATCTTCCTGCTTGTCAGACAAATCAGGAAAGAAAAAAAAAAGGTTAAGACCTTATAGCGTAGATTTTCTTAATTTTTACACCATCACTTCTATCCCTAATCCATTGCCTCAGTATAATCCAATTTTTAAACACTGAAAGGAATGTGAAAATTTGTACATTATGTTATTGGAGCTGTCATTTTTTAAGTTTAAGTTCCCTTTTGTCAAGTCATCACTGTTTTGAAAGGTCTTAATTTCATCATTTATGCGTCAATTAGAAGCTTATAACTATTCCGCAGAGTAATGGATAGACTTTCGTTCGACTCGAGTGTTAATAATTGAAATCCTACAGAAGATTAATGGCGTATCGAGCTGTGGTCAGTGCTTAAACTGTGCCTGAGTAGGACTTGATTAAGTGTCCACCACCAGCGCTAACCTCCCACTCATAAACATATGCCATAGCTCATCTGCAAATGATAACAATTAACTTAATACGTCTAGTTAGCAGCCATTCTTCTGCTCTGGTAATTTCTCCAATCCTGCGTGACGCTTGTTAAAGACTCACTGATGTACTTAATTAAAAGATTGATTTTTACCAGCCCACGGCTTCAATTTCCTCACCTGAGCAGAGATTAGATCCATGCTGTTCCTCCACTGCCTACTGCCGGCTTTATAGAGACTTCTTTAAGATTGGAATTCGTACACAAAACCGCTCCCTTTGTCTGCATTCACTGGAGAAATCGTGGAAATTGGCAGCACTCGCGCCGTTAGCATTCTTAATGATAAGTGCTCCATCTGGCGCGTGGTGGCGAGCCAAAGGCGACAGATGGAATTGTTTTCGCAATCTGTTTAAATATGTTGTCGATTCTTCTTCCCCTTTTAAACCCCTCGCACGGCGGCACACGCGAGAGATAGCGGGTTTTGCGCACCTGGGGAAGCAGAAGGGACTGACTTTGGGACCGCGCAGATAGGCAGCGGTCCCCCCCCTTCCCGAGCCACTGGAGGGACAGGAGGTAACACAGTCTCCGAGATCTACAGCCAGACGTCCACCAGCCAATACAAAGTGCTCTTAATTGATGCGTGCGGTGCGATTGGAGCTGCGTTTTAAATGTCAGTCTGCGTGCTTTTACTACACAGATGTAAGGGCGAGGTGTGAGGAGTTTAACAGGGGTATTTGTGTCATTTCGTCGTCTGCTTTGAAGCTGCCGCGCCTCTTTACTATTCCTGTAAAATTAATGGCAAGAAAAATCACCGCTGGAATCTCATTATTGCTTTATAATATTCATAACCATACTTATAACCTTACTTTGAAAAGATAATCCCACCACTGTGAGTTTTCATGTTATGAAAGGTTGCTGAGATATTAATCATAAACATGCATACGTTCACTCCGCGCATTTGATCGTCAGCCCCGATGCACATCCCCCATTGACTTTGCATGTAAACCTGACGCTCCGCAGTGCCAAAGATTAAACTTAGAATCATCGTTCGACCAAAGACTTGCTGCGACTGAAATCAAACCTATTTTTACGGTCCTGGTCTTGTCTTGGACTCAAGCGCATCTGGACTCAGTTTTGTCTCGGTCTTGATGGCGCTTGGTCTCGGTCTTGACTCGGACTTGAGGTCTGACACTCGACAAGTGTGATCATATTTCATTACGGCCGGTAAATGTACAGAGGCTGCTAAATATCACTACAAAATCATCAAGATAATGTAACTGTAAATGTTATGAACTTGAAAAAAAACAAAACACTGGATTAACCTAAGTGCCAGTGATTAAATAAGAGATTCTCAAACTCAAAAAAAAGTGGCATAGAGATTGCTTGGCGTATTTTAGGTCTAAATGAACATTAACCAGATCAAATGGAGACAGATTTTAGGAAAACATTGATATAAATGTGCCAAAATAACTGTAAAATACAAATAAATGTTGGAAATGACAAATATGATCTCGATTTGGTCTCGATGGGCCATGGTCTCGGTCTTGACTCTCATTGGTCTTGGTCTTGTCCTGGTCTCGGTACCCTGTGGTTTTGGACTGGTCTTGGTCTCGATTAGTGCGGTCTAATGGTCAATCTCTATCAAACAAGCGACCACCAATAAACACAAACGTACATTTGTTTGACCCACTTCGTCGAAGTAACAGCATAAGAGCTCAGCAGTGAACTGGACCTTATCTCCTCATTTCCCTTTCGTTTAGTGACTTTCACTAAGTTATCTGAATTTATTGGAGTAAAAAGTTACCCTAATCCTAAGCCTAAAAAATTTGTTAAAATCCTAATACTAAGCAAAGTTATGTAATATTGCCTTTTTCGCATGTCGAGCCGCCCTGGTTAACACAATCTTTCCTCTGAGAGTGGGGTGCCAAAAATCTGAAATGTAACAGTGTGATATAAAATTGGACTTGGTAAAAATTGAATCGTGACTTCTCATTCCTGTGACTATCGGCTGTTTTGGTGAAATTGACATATCATGAATACACAACTCTTCTTTTGAATGCAGCTCTGTGCTCAAACAAACCACTTTCTCCCTCCTACTCCCCCTGTTGGTCAGCCTCAGTAATGCTCTGAGTGAGTGACAGCTGGATTTAACCAATTTACAATCAAGTGTGAACTGTCAAAGCAGATGACTTTAGTTACATCTTCAAGGCAATATAAAGATGCCAAGTTTAAGTTTAGTTTATGAACCTTGGAAAAATGTATCGTGATCTGACTTCAAGAAAATCGTGATCAATTTATTTATTTTTTGCCGTACTGTCCTCCCCTAATCTTGCCTGACCAGCGACTCCCTTCTATATTCTGATTAAATCCAGAAGAGACTTGACCAGAGAGCGTGAAAAATCTCCATCCAAACTTGAGGTGATCCAACATGTCTCTCAAATGCAGAAGCCATCTCCTCTTGAAAATTTTTGTAACATTCAGGACTAAATAAATAACTTCTTTTACCTGAGATAAGTAATAGTTTGGTGCTTTGATTGTTGATTCTGTGTTGTTTTTTCCGCTTTTTTACGTGTAAATCGTCATAGTTGTTTTGACGTGAACTGGACATGCGTCTCTCTGATTGTTTAGTCCGCCTGTCAATCCCACATTCTAAAATCAGGGAAACGGGACACAGCTCCAGATCCACTCGTCTATGTAAAGTTTTGGCAAAGCACAAAGTTCTGGCAGGACACGTAACTGGACACTTCTCCTATTGGTCAGCCTTATCGTAGTTTTGAGTGAGTGACAGCTGGATTGAACAAATTACAATCAAGTGTGAACTAAAAATCGTGATCAGACTTCAAGAAAATCATAATATTTGTCTTTATTTTTTCTTTATTTATTATTGACACACCCAAGGAGGTCAAACTTCACACTCAACCAAACATCACCCACATTTCAAAAGAAGTTCCCAATGACAGTACCCAAAATTGAACCGAAACCCAAAACTTGACAGCGTAAGGACAAAAATAAATCCGGTGAAACAGGTCTTCCTCTTCCTCCTCAGAGAACCTGCAATAATAATGTTGCGGTAATTTTATAAAACAGTTTTAGTTGAAATGCTCTCGGCCAAGAGTCTATTGTAGTATTATAAATAGTTTGAAAGTAACATTTACATGAAATTGGGGCATTTATTTCATCTTCCCAAAACCAGCAGGCTCTGTGAGGGAAAAAAATGAAGCACCAGTTGTATTAATAGTCCACTTGTAAATTTTTTTGTTGTGTTTATACCCGTGAGCCATTTATGGTTTCTCATATGTGGCAGACAAACCAAAAGCTTATTCTTCTTTTCTCTTTCCAGTTCAGTTTTCCAGAAAATCGTAATATTATCGGCCGCCTCTACTCTAGTGTGACTCTTGTGTCCTTGTATTCCAGAGAACGCGTGGCCAGAAGAGGAAGCGTCTGAACCTGTCTGAGGAGCCAGAGGAGAAAGTGGAGGTGTGTGTCATGATTCTTTCTCTCTCTTTCTCTCTCTCATCCCCGGCTCCGTGTGTCTCACTCAGATGTGCCTGTATTTACTTTGCCGCGCTTATTTGACGAGGTATTACCCGCGCTCAAGAGATCTTATTAAAATTCAAACTCACTTAATGAATTTCCTCCAACTCCGAGAGGATTCTTTATTAAAACATATTTCCCTCAGAGTTGTGTCGGCGTCTGAAATATGCCGAGTTTTGTGATGTTTCGCATGAGAAGGCTGTGATGTGATTAGCATTATCACCGTTTAGCCTGGCGGTTTGCTCCACTGAAGCTAAGTATTGTTTTAGTTATAGCTGTCTCTGCCTGGCATTCACAAGCTATTAGATCTTAACAAAAACATTTCCTAAATATAATTTAGCCTGTAGCAAAAAGAAGATTGCATTTTGATAGCCATGATTAGACTTCTCAATCTTAAATTAAGTAATAGTGGATGGGAAAAGCAGCAGAAACATTTAGTGTTGTGGGGTAAATGGATGCAGCAGGTCCTCAAAAACCCTCTGCAGTAACAATATGATTAAAAATCCCACTCGGGTCATAGGAGGGCACTTGTAGTCGGCAAATCTAGTAGTCCCATCTACGGAAGCCGAGAGGGGTCACAACAAATGCAAACGCCGCAACAAATACAAATGCGACAACACAACAAAAAGCCACAACACATTAAAAAGCCACAACGGAAATGACCGCGGGACTCTGTTTTAATGCAAACGCCGCAACAAATACAAACGCAAATGCCACAACACAAACGCAAATGCCACAACACATTAAAAAGCCACAACACAAAAGCACATGCCACAACACATTAAAAAGCCACAACACAAAAGCACATGCCGCAACACATTAAAAAGCCGCAACACATCAAAAAGCCACAACACATTAAAATGCCGCAACACATTAAAAAAACACAACACATTAAAAAAGCCACAACACATCAAAAAAGCCAAACAACACAAAAGCCACAACACATTAAAAAGCCATAACACATCAAAAAAGCCACAACACATTAAAAATGCTGCAAACACATCAAAAAGCCACAACACATAAAAAATGCTGCAACACACATCAAAAAGCCACAACACATTAAAAAAGCCACAACACATAAAAAAAAACACAACACATTAAAAATGCCGCAACACATTAAAAAGCCCCAACACATCAAAAAGCCACAACACATTACAAAGCCACAACACATCAAAAAGCCACAACGGAAGTGACCGCGGGACTCTATTTTCCGATGGACCGATCAAGCGGCAAGTGAAGAAGAACTACAACGTGAAACGAATAATGATAGAACAATAAATTACTTTTACGTACATTTCCAACTTCTCCGTTCCTTTACTTTTCACGTTGTAGTTCTTCTTCTTCACTTGCCGCTTGATCGGTCCGTCGGAAAATAGAGTCCCGCGTTTATTTCCGTTGTGGCTTTTTTTGTTGTCTTGTGGCTTTTTGTTGTGTTGTCCCATTTGTATTTGTTGCGGCGTCTGCGTTTGTTGTGATCCCTCTCGGCTTCCGTACACATCACTCCAATTTAGGGTTTAAAAATCCTATATTACGCTAAATTGACTCTTGTGAGCTTTTAGTCATGTTTGAATGTTGTTACCTCGTCAAAAACAGCCCTGGAGTTGTGTTTTGTTTAATTCACTCATTTAGTTAGTTAGTTAGTTTCATTTTCTTCGGTCAATTAACATAAGTTATTCTATAGACCAAAGGAGTTTAGGCTGAAGTTTAACACTTATTTAAAACTTGTATCCTGTTTTAACATATAAAACAGGATACAAGATGGCAGAACTATTTACAGAAAACAACACAAAACTCATCTTTTATGAGTGCAGCAAAAAATACGTACTTAAATCTTTTTTGGTTTTCACAACACAATATATGTCGATGTTCATACACACACAAACTGCCCATATCCCCAAAGCTCAAAATGATCTGTTAAGTTACTTCTTACCTTTAGTTCAGTAGAGATGGGCAATTCCAGGGCTGAAATCATCAAAATGATTCTAGTGAAGGTGTTACCACATGACATCACAAGGTGGAACAGAGTGTTTTCATTCAGAGAGAAGAACTCAGCCTAAATATGCAGGTTTGGTTTGTGTGTTAAACATGTGTGAATGACACAAAACACAACTCCAGGTCTGTTTTTGATGAGGAAACAACATTTTAACCGATCAGAAAATAGCGTAATATGAGCTCTTTAATTCAGTGTTTCCCAAAATTCCCAACCTTCGCGACCCAAGTCAATAGACATTATTCTTAAATCATGAAATAACGGTGAATCTGACCATTATTGAACATTAATGAGGATATTTTAATGCTGACTGAGTGATCATGTCTCTAAACAATTAGTATTACTCAAGTTTTAAACAATACAAGCAATAAAAGGATCCATAAGTCGCCTAATTGTAGTCCATTTCTTTTTCTTTTCAACATTCAGTTGACCTACATGCAGATCGTGACAAGGCGACCCCAAAAAATGGAAACAGTGCCCTGAGAAACAATGCTTTAATTAACTAATAGTGGAAGGGAAAAGCAACAGAAGCATTAGTGTTGTGGAGTAAATGGCTGTAACTTGCCCTCTAAAACCCTCTGCAATAACAATATGATTCAAAATCCCCCTAGAATCTCAGGAAAGCAATTGTCGTTGGCTGATCTAGTCGCATTGCTTCTGTCTAGGGCTTAAAGGGCGCAAAATATTACGCAAAATTTATTCTTATGAGCTTTAAGTCATGTTAGAATGTTGTTACCTCATGTAAAAAATACCTGGAGTACAATTTCATTCAGGCCAAACAGCAAAAATCTCATATTTACAGGCCTTTTTTCTTGATGTAAACAACCAGTTAAACCAATTAATAACTGATTAGCCAAATAATTATTAGTTTCTGCTCTACTCCGATCACCATTTCTCAAAAATAACAGTCAAATCAGTTCTTTTGGAGCAAATACAGCAAAAATCTCACATTTACAGGCCTTTCTTTCTTGTTGTAAATGACCATTTAAACCAAAGAATAATCAATTAGACAAATAATTATTAGTTTCAGCTCAACTCCGATCACCATTTCTCAAAAATAATAACAACAGTAAAACCGGTGCTGTCTTTATCTGTGGAGAATGTGGAGATTGACGGATTAGTATTTTAGATTTCATGTTTAAACTTAAATGAAACATGAATAGAAATTGTCTTCTTTTGGGGAGCGGTTCAGCCATTTCATTTAACACTTTGATTAGATAATACTCGCCCTCCGCTGACAGCAGCTGGAAGGGCAATTTTCACAGCGATTAGCCACATGACATCAACAGATAAACAAAAAAAATGCTTCTTATACGTCCATTCTTATATTCAATTCCCTAGGGTTTTGAAATGCAACAAATCATATACTGGTTTAACAAGTTTATGTGGAGAATGAGGATGTGTGGCTCTTGAGAAGTGATGAGATAAACTTTTATTTGTCTCACAATGAGGAAATTAGTGTTGCAACGTAAAGTTCAAGAACAGCAAGAGAATAAGAGCATCAACATCTAAATAACAATAGACTTACAATATAATACAACAAGTCCAGAGCTGAAATCTTTATTCTAGACAAGCCAAGACAAGTTTATTTGTATAGTACATTTCATTCACTAAGTAATTCAAAGTTCTTTACAGAATAAGAAATACATTAAAATCACAATAAAAACAAGTCAAAACAAAACGGTCAACTCTATTTATAAGGCTATAAGTCAGTCAATAAAACAAAATTGTATCATAATGTTATAATATACTTAAATGCTTGGAGATGATTTGGCAGAAACGGTGCTTTTCAGATTCTAAAATGTGTTGAAGTCGTACTCTCAGATGAGGTGCAACAGCCAGGGTCGATATGGTTTTCTCATAAGAAATATCCAAAAAGGAAATTTACAAACAACAAACCTGATCCCTTCTATAACCCAATCCAGTCCATTTTATTCCTATAACATATTGCATAAACAAAGATGGTTTCCCAAGTGCTGCACCTAGAGAAATAAAAAAAAATAATAATAAAAGAAATAAGAAACTAGACTCTAGATGTTGTAAAGATCTGCATTTTAACAATTTTCATTTTAACTGCCCCACATCTTTTATTAGGGCTGGGTATCATTAAGAAGTTACTGATACGATACATACCTCCATATATAGGCCACGATACAACACACTTTTCAATATAGTGAGCTTTCTATTCAGTACAATTCTATACATTATACTTCACATCGATTCGATACAGTTCATTAAAAAACAAAGGCTAGATCATAGCTGTGATACTAAAAGTCTCCTAAGTTTGTGCAAAGTTAATATGAAAAACACAAATTTTACTCATCCAAACAGTCAAAATATCAACACAATTGTAGCTCTTACACAAATTAATTGAGTAAAATATTCCTAAAAATACACAATATGTCGATTAGGGCTGTGCAAAAATATCGAAATATTGCTATATCTCATTGTTTAATGTGATGATACAGTATCGATATTGTGGGCTGCTGTATGTAAAGAGTATTTTTTGGTATTTTTTACAAATTATTTTGTTACAGCACTACAGTTTTGTTGCTTATTTAGTGGAAGGAAACTCGCTTATACAACACATTTTTTACATTTTTACTGTTTTGATGATTAAAATGTTTGTGTTATATATTCACTTTGCACAAGAAGTGGTTTAACAAAGACTTTTAGGATCACAGCCAATATTTAGCTTTTGTTTTACTGAACCATATTGAAATGATTTGAAATATATCGCATCGAATTGAAAGTGCACTGTATCAAGATATGTATCGTATCGGCAATTTCCAGCCTTAATATTGATACTGATACACATTAAAATACGATATATCAACATTTAGATATTTTTGCACACCCCCATCTTTTATATTTGATCACAAAATATTCCATTCTTGTTTTAGACGTACAGTATCCTTCAGAGGACACAAAAAAATCAAACCGCTCTCCTCTGTTGCCTTTACCGCTTTACTATCTCCCTCTCATCTCCCTCCATCCCTTTTGACTATCCCGGGCAGCATCCAGCCGCCACACACACAGACCCGATTCTAATCACCTGCGTCTCCATAGGAACCGGCGCCACGGGAACGGCGTCAACGTCAATCAACCCTCCAGAAGAAGCCCAAAGCGGACGACACCAGGACCGAGTGCACCACGTGTAAAGGACCCGGCGACAATGAGAATTTAGTGAGGTGAGTTGCGGCGTGTTCAAAGACCGCCCGAGTGTGGGGATTATTAAACATGCAGCGGCCATATCCTCCCGATGATTAAAGTTCAGTCTTCATTAGGCGATGGCGGGCGACGCGGATCAGGCAGGGCCGAAGGGTGGCGCCTCCATAGGGCCCATATATTGACCTGCCACATACATTTGCACACTTCATTAAGGTGTAATGAATAGAACAATTTATTCTGCTGCCTTCACGGGATTTCAGGTGTCGGCGTCTAATAAACACCATTTCTCTTTGACTTTGAAATTCAGACGGGGGAAAAATGGAGAGCAGGTGATGAGTTTGTGAAAATGTTCATAAAATCTCCCCGGAGTTTAGTACTGTTAGATGTGGCATTAGTTTTTATCTGAATGAATGATTTCAGACAGCGTTGGTATGTTTTTACAAATGTGTTCAGTCATCTTCCACTTTGTGTTCTGAGTCATATCGTTTGTGCTTTTGTTCTGTTCTTTCAGAGTAACGTGACTTCTTATTTTTGTTTCCATCAGTGTCCAGCAGACGTACACAAAGAATGCGTAGAATCTGTAAGCTCGAGACACAGGCAAGTTGTTTATCAATGCATAAACAATAAGAACAATGTCAGGATCAAGATAAGTGATTGTATATTGAAACGTGAGCTGCCAGAATGTTCGTTAACATGTCTGCTCTGAGGTACAAGTGGCCTCTGTGACCCCAGCAGTGAAAGACAAACTGTAAACAAGGGCTGGGCCAGTTTAAGGTGTAACTCATTCCTTTAGGCGCGACTCATTTTAGCTTTGGAGAGTACGCGGCGCCGCCTAGTGCCTCCGCTCAATTTCATTTCTCTCTAGCGACTAAGTCAGGAATCGGAATACACTAGACGGTTCGCAAAAACCTCGAAAGTGCGAGTTCGGACATCGGCTAATCTGTGAAGAGCCATATATTCTGTGTTGGCAACAATTCCCGAGATTTAAAGCCGGAATAAAGAAAATGTTTGGTTAATTTTATCAAGGGGAAAGACGTCATATAGGGGATTAGGGAAAAGCTTAATATACCAGTTAACCTGTTAGCGGCGCAGTACATATGTTACGACCAAATAGCAGCGATTGGTTAAATAAAAAAGTACCCGCCTACCGTCGAGCGAACGAATTCTAATGCTGCGAGGTCAGACGGTTTCTACAAAATGAAACCGGCTGATGAATCAGGCTAACACATTCTAGCTGCTCTAAACATTTCCGTTAGATTAGAGGAAAATCAAAACATTGTGATTTCTAAAACTTTGTCCAGTACCTTTGAACCACTGTTTTTGCCATGAACCAGTTCAGGAGCAATAAGGGATTACATAGACTCATAAACAAATTGGACATTCATAGTGTTGTAAGTCTGTGTTCTCCACACAGCAAATAGAGCTGCCGTATATAAGACAATCAAACAATATTAATATTAAAAGAATAGAATGACTAATACTTCTCTGGTATCAATGGGAAATCTTTCTTTTGATGAGCTTATAATGAAAGTAACTAATGTAACTGCAGTTCTATGAATCTAGATTTCCCAAATGTGGGGCCAATTGGAGAAACATAATGCACATGACAAATACGGCTGGGTAACATTAAGAAGTTGCCGATACTTCGATACATAGGCCACGATACGATGCATATCTCAATGCAGTGCACTTTCGGCTCGATACGATATATTTCAAATCGATTCAGTACGATTCAATAAAAAATAAAGGCTAAATCATGGCTGTGATACTAAAAGTCTTTGTTAAACCACGTCTTGTGCAAAGTTAATATGAAACACAAATATTTTAATCATGAAAACAGTGAAAATGTCGAATGTGTCGCATAAACGAGTTTCCTTCCTCTGAACAAGCAACAAAACTGAGGCTCTGTAACAAAATAATTGAGTAAAATATACCAAAAAATACTCTTGACGATACATCGATAGAGCAGTCACAGATATCAGTACTGTATCATCACATTAAACGATACGAAAGGTTGATATTTCGATATTTTTGCACTCCCCTAATGACAAATAGGTCGAATCATATTACTACAACACCAACAAAAGTGCAGCTGAGTTTAAAAAAAAAAAAACAAGGATAGTTTTAATGCTAAACGAGTTAAATATTCTCACCAGTCGTTCATTTCTTGTGTTCACTGCTTTAGTTTTTTGTCATTCATTCCTCACCCTTCGTTCTCGTGCCATTGCTTTGTTCATTGTTTCTTTTGTGTGTCCATTGCTCTTGAATGCCTTTCGTTCATTCCGTTCTCATCCATCCTTGTGTTAGAGGCTGTCCTGAGGGTGACTCCCGGCGGGCCCATGTTTGTGTTATCTTTGGCGGGCGCGGGCAGACGGGCGGGCGACAGGGGCAGTGGGGGTGAGAGGTCGCTGCCCTGACTCTTTGTATCTTTGCGTTGCACAGGTTGTGAGAGCCGGGGCAGCCACCTCTCCTCCCAAAAAACACTGAGCGGACAGATGATGACCGGGCTTAGGCTCAGAGAGAGAGGCTAATAAAGGAAGAAAGACTCCACTGCGACAAGCTGGACACCAGACTGGACCCCACAGACTGGACCCTCCATACTGCCCCATTCACTAATGCCATGCACCTCTGGATTTCTGTTCAAATGTTCAAAGCAGGTGATATCATCGAAGTAAGAATGTATTATTTTTATATGTAAAATCAACATCAGTATGCCAAATTACCCAAAATTCAAACCTGGACAACTGTTCCACATACCGTATTTTTTGGACTATAAGTCGCTCCGGAGTATCAGTCGCACCAGCCAAAAAATGCACAATGCAGAAGAAAAAAACATGTATAAGTCGCACCAGACTATAAGTCACACTTTTTGGGGAAATGTATTTTATAAAATCAGACACCAGAAACCGATATTTCATCTTTAGCGTAACATATTAACAGTGATTCAGATAATTATAGCATAAACAACAGAACATAAATTAACCACACTCACATTCTCACTCCAAATCACTAAATCCATTGAATTCTTCGTTCTCTGTGTCACTTCTGCGCGACCTCCGGAGATAAATCATAGATCCATGATGTAAACAGAGCGCCGATTCCTCTTCTGCATAGCTGTCGACAGACTCAGCATCAGTTCCAGTTAGAATTATTCCGGCCTTTCTGAATCTCGACAGGATGGTTTTGGTTGTTATTGAAGTTCAGGCTTTGTCGATTCATCCAGTGACAGTGAAAGTTACATGGTGCACCCACCTGGTTACCATGAATCTTTGTTTTCCATCCCCGCTTTCCACCAGTGAATCACAAGTTTCTCGCTCACTCCAAACTTTCTTTCTGCTGCTCGATTACCATTTTCGGCTGAATGTTTCCCTATTTGCAGCAGGACAGCGGCTATTTCTACAGGAGGCATGCGCAGTAGAGAGAGAAGTGACAGTGGTACAGGAGTAATAGTAGTACTAGATACTGACACACGAGCCTAGAGCGCCCACTCACGGCTGTCAGTCTGAAAATTTTAATATATAAATCGCAGGAAACATCCAAACCATGCAAAAAAGTGCGACTTATAGTCTGAAAGATACGGTACTCCTGAAGGTCTTTTGGAAACACACACACATTATAATCTGTCCTTGTTGTGATTGTGACACCTGCATTGAGCTTTGTGCAGAAATCTATGCAATAATACCTTCGCTGATTGTAAAAATGGCAGTTTGGGGCCATGCTCGTAGCAACATTCCTCAGGCTTTTTAGTGCATTTTGCAGCCATGTTGTTGTGCTTTTAGGATCATAATATTATCAGCCAATTTTGATTTAAGTAGTCCTACAACAATTCCAGTCATGGTGTCCATTTGACAGCTGTTAGGGGTAGGGATGCACCGATCCAGGTTTTTCTGTTCTGATACTGATACTTTGATAAGTATCTGCCAATACCCCAAAATCATCTGACACCAGTGTAGGGACTGAAAATGTTGTTTATTTCCTTTAAACACAAAAAAAAGTCCATTATTATATATTATGTGTTTTGTAACTACTGAGCAGCTTTGTAAAAATACAACTTTAATGATTTTATGAGATGTTTTAGGCCAACAAATCATCTTTTTATGCTTATTTATTGACCAAAATGGGATATCGGCTGAATCGTTATCTTGAAAATGTTGATGGATCGATATCAGCTTTCAATGTTGACGCCGATATCCGATACCAATATCATATCGGTGCATCTCTAGTTATGGTTACCCTGCTTGTAAAACTTGCCACACTTTCGTCTACTTGTGCAATGTAATGAAAATCACAAAGCTGTTTTCTTGGGCTCTAAGGAAAAAAATGCATTCACAACATTTCCAATCAGCTCTATCGATTAAGGAAATCAACCACCTGTGACTTTGGTCCAGTGCAATCACTCAGCCTTGTGTCTTATTCTCAAGCAAACAGGGTCAGATTGTAAAGTAAGTGTATTGTACCAAGTAGAAACCAACCATCTGTAGGTTTAGTGTAGATTACAACGTTATTATTAGATTATTAGATTATTAGTCGTGGTGTAGACGAAAACAAACAAAAAGAAAAACTGTCTGTGATGGCATGACAGTTGAGTCTGAAGGAGCCCAGTCCAGACCTGGTCCCTGGTGGTCCTGTATCTGTGGCTGTCAAAGCAGAGCTGTGCTGAGCTGTCAGACCCATGACACGTGTCAGAGCTCCCCCCCCGTCCACACCGCACACGGGGCTAAGTCTGAGAGGCTCTTAAACCACACACTCCTGATCACACATAAAAACATATCGTCTTAATGCAACGCTTCACGGCCTTTTTAGCCTTCTACAATAATCTTTAAAAGGGCCCGTATTACGCTGTTTTCTGAGCTATGTTATAATGCAGTTTCCTCATTAAAAAACAGACCGGGAGTTGGGTTTTGTTTCATTCACACATGTTTAACTCACAAATCCTGAATATTTAGGCTGAGTTTTTCTTTCTGCTCCACTTTGTGATTTCATGTGGTAATACAAGAAGTGCTCCACTGTGTTTTTAAACTACATACAACTTCACTAGAATAATTTGGATGATTTCGGCCCTGGAATTGCGAATCTCTACTGAAGTTTCTGCTTAATGACATGACAAAGTGTGTGTAGAATCCCTCCGTTGTCCAGATAGAATCTATGGTAAAGGAGAAATTCATTTTGTGAACTGAACAAACGTTTATTTAGGTCGAAAAAGTTTCGCAGCTCATTCAGTTCTGGAGAGAATCCCGAAAGACACATCCTTATATCTGCCTGAAGGGAGGAGGTAACTACGCTGAAACTACTCTGAAACTAACACGTAACAAGTAGGGTGTTAATTGGAAGAGAACATTTTGACTTTTGGAGATGGAAACGGACTAATAAGCGCTACTCAAACATGCGTGAATGAAACAAACCACAGCTCCAGGTCTGTTTTTGAGGAGATAACTGCATTATAACATGACTCAGAGCTCACAAAAGTCAATTTTGCGTAATACAGGATCTTTTAACAGTTTCTGAAATGGCAACGTGTGTCTGTTCGGGACATGTTTTGCGACGTTATTGTTAGATACAGAGCATGCTGCTGTTCTGTGGAAACATATCTACAGTAAATGTACATTATAATAAGATCTTAATACGACATATAAATCTCCATAAAGGTTTAGGTGCGTACATTTGTAATACTAAGGACGTGTCTCCTGTAAAATGCATGAGTGGTGTATTTACTCTGATCTGTACTGTAGTTCCTGAAGTATTGTACTGTGTAGATTAGAATGTGAATGCAGGTAGCTCTGTGCTGTTCTCATGTGTGCACTATTTATTTATTAAGAGGCCAAATGTTTTCTTTTGGTGCCTTTGTTTTAATGTGTTTTACAGAGTTGAGCTCTGCTGGTGCTGTAATTGTTTCATTTTCTTATTGCTTACATTTGTTTACACGTACAATACCAGTCAAAAGTTAAGACACACCTCCTCATTTAAAGCTTTTTTAAAACTTTGTGTTTACTATTTTACTATGAAAAAGCATCAAATATGTGATCCCAGATATGTGGAATTATGTGGTGAAAAAAAAGTTGAAGCTGTATTGCTCAATTTTTCCACAGTAGAGATTAAATGTCAGATCTGTGCAGAGGCAACCCTATTCACAAGAAAGATTTACTGTATTTTTGAGCAGTAGAAACATCCATCATCAATATATTTTAGATCAATATGTTTAATATCATAAAGAAATATTGTAACATCTCTATGGAGACAAGCAGGTGATGAAGCCTCCACCAGAAAAGTTGCGAAATGCACCTTTAAATAGTGCAAGTTAACTTTTTTTTATATATAGTTTATATTCAAATCTCCAAAGTATTCACCCTTTGCTTTGTTGACAGCTCTGCAAACCCCTGACCTTCTCTTAATGAGCTTCTTGATGACGTCTCCTGAAATAGTTTTCACTTCAGATGTGTCAAGAAATGCCAAGAGTGCCAACCAGCGATGAAAGCAAACGGTGGCTATTTTTAAAAATCTAAAACAGATTTTGAATTATTTAGAGTTTATTTTTTGTTTACGATATTCCACATGTGAACAAAACCCCGAGATACTTGAACTCTTCCACTTGAGGTTCTTGATTTGCCGTCAATCTACGTACCTACCCTCACTTATGATCATGAGCTTTGGGTAATGACCAAAAGGACGACCGAAATGAGTTTCCTCCGCAGGGTGGCTGGGCGCTCCCTTAGAGATAGGATGAGGACCTCAGTCACACGGGAAGAGCTCGGAGTAGAGCCGCTGCTCCTCCATGTCGAGAGAAGCAGCTGAGGAGGCTTGGGCATCTGTTCTGGTTGCCTCCTGGACTCCTCCCTGGAGAAGTGTTTCAGGTATGTCCCACCGGAACAAGCCCGGGATGAACGAAGTCTGAGAGTCACTGCTCAGACCCGACCCCGGATAATTGGAAGAAAATGGATGGAAAAATGGATGAATATTCTATATGTGTTCAATTATACTTTTGATGCTGACAATGGGAATCTACAATTAAAATAGTCATGAAAATACAGACAAAATAAAAATGAAAAAGTGTGGTCAAACTTTCGACTGGTAGTGTACGCTTTAGGGGAATACTCTCGTGATACATTTAAAGGTGCACTATGTAACTTTTTGGTTGGGAGGGTCTGTCACCTGCTTGTTTCTATGGATATGTCCTTGCTCTCCGTTGAATGTTCCACAGTGTGACATTAAACAGCTCTACTTTACATTTATTCAGTTATAGGTGGTTTTATAGCTCAAAAATACCTACAAAAACAGGCATTCTGACTGCGAACGGGGTCGCCTCTCCACAGATCTGGCACGCAACTTGGTCTGTTTTGATCTCCATGAAGATAGAAAGGTTTAATGCCATACTGTGAAACATTCCAGCCAAAGCAATAACATCTCCATGGAAAAAAGAAAGCATATAACGGACCCTCCACTATAAAAGTTACACAATGCAGCTTAAACTAAAGCCTCTAAATGCAAAAGTTTAATAGAAAAATGACACGGCAGCAACGCATTTAGTAACAGCGATGATAAAGATAACGTCTGATGTTCAAGCCATAAGAGATGATTTTGTGTGTGTTTTGGTGGCAGATGGAGTTGTTTGTGCAGGACAGAAACTGCTGAGATGCCCGCGCACAGGCTCCTCCAGTCTTCACACGAAAATCATCTCTTCTCCATTTCTAAAACATGGATCAAATCGCCTTTCCCCTCCAGTGTGAAACCATTCGGACAGTTTCAGCTTAGTCATGTATAAACCCGTCACAATAACACATTTTCAACTGTAATATACAATTTTCTACCTCTCCTCAAGCAGAATAACTCAAAAAAAACAACACTTGACCTGCTGCTATGACCAATAACCGATATTTACCTTTCAAAATCCATAGCGTCGCCCACAAATTTACCTTTAGTCACAAGTAAACTTTTCACTTTAGTAAAAATAAATCTGGTTTAGAACATTTGTGACATGTCTGAGTAACCAGAAACGTACAGTAGGGATGTAACAATTTCCAAATCTCACGATACGATATTTTCACGATATGCATCTCACGGTACGATATTTATTGCGATATTTGTGGAGGCGAACAAAACTGTGAATATGCTACTTACTTCTTTAAAAACATTGATACTGTTAATAATGGTACTGTTGTAATATGAATAATTAGGATTTAAAAGTGTTAATTATGTTAAATCTCCATTGAGAACACCAAAGGATCATGGTCTATGTAGTTCCCTCTGTTTTTTTTAGCTATTGCTGCACCATAACAATGAATTTAAGTAAAGAGACTTGTAATTCGATTTATTGTGACAGTCCGCGATGTTATTGTGAGACTTTTGACGATACGATATCACAATATTTCGGTTATTGTTACATCCCTAACATACATTCATAAAACACTCTTGTGACAATGCAAAAATGTAGGTACTGAGTATTGATCACAGCCAATACCAGAACAGATACCGGAATTGTTACTAATATAACCAATTAAATGCACCCATCTCTAGTGTCCACCGGGGATAAAAAGTATTGCCATGTTGTCTTAAAGCTACCATCTGTAAATGCATTTGATTTTTTTTTTTTTTTTTTTTATAGTAGTAGATGGCAGATGTAAAACTGCTCCCTCCTTCCCTCTCCCTTCACCAGACCTTTGTTCAGATTCTACCTGTGCTCATTGGTCTTCAATCATAGAGCAGTAACATAGACGGCATCTAGTGGTGACATGTGAGAATACAACAGATGGTAGCTTTAAATAACCAAGGGAACCTATAAGTGAGAATCTAAACTTATGTGAGGTTGGAAAAAATGTACAATATTGTAAAAAAAAAAAAAAAAAAAATGCAGTTCAAGAGTCATAGCAGTTACTCAATTGTTCAATCTTCAATAGCTCAAATACTGACATAGCACAAATAATAACAGGAAGTTTGACTCTAATACTAGTAATATTTGGATTTGACTTTCTGAAATGAAAATATTGCACTTTTTAATGATATTCTAATTATCTGTGACGGACTAGTATACATGAAATAAGCCAAAATATAGCATGAAGGATGTTTTCATATAGCAGTTACCATGACATGTGTCTTATTGAGTCCTTTTTTCAGACCAAGAGTTTGTTTTCATATTTGACAGTTTCGACTGCTCCCTGTGGTCTTCCTCAGAGTCACGTGATGCTCCTGTGACGTGTCCGTTCAGCTGATTTAAACAGGTTTTGGCGCTGTCTTCCTACCGGAGGAGGCAGGACGACAGCGCCATCTGCAGCCCGACTTCTCCAGGACAGGATCCCAGGTGTGTGAGAGTAAAAAAGAACCCCTCGTCCCGGTTTATCGTCCCGTGGGCACGTTTCCGTATTTCGACTCTTAAATCCAGCGACGGTGTTTGTCATCAGCATCACGTGACCACACTGAGGAGGACCGCAGGGAGCGATCAAAACAGCATGAATGAAAACAAACTCTTGGTCTGAAAAAAGAACCTAATAACATAAATTATCAGAAGACCAAATGAACCTGACGTGTGTGGTGTTACTTCACTGCTGCCTTGCGATTTCTCCGTTCAGCTTTTGCATTCAGATCTTGCCCAGGTGTGTCCCACTCACTGTACTGCCTGTGTTTTTTTGCACTGTACAAAGTCCGATTGTCGAATGTGATCGTGTCTCTGTGGCCTCCGTAGCTCTCGTGGCGAAATGAAGAAGAGCTTTAATAAACTCTTGACTTTTTCACCTTA